CTGCTCCTATGATGCTGCTTGGCCTGCTGTGTTCATCCAGCCCTGCACCTTGTTGTCTCGGATTCTCCAGCATCTGCAGTTCCTACTATCTCTTATTTCAGGGAATATGTAAATGCACTAATACCTGGAATAAGTGGGTTGTCATTTGAGGATTGGTTAGACTGGCTAGGCTTGCATCCACTTGAGTTTAGACAAGTAAAAGGTGACATGAATAAATCATATAAGATCTTGAAGGACCTTGACAGGGTCGTTGTGAGAAGCCGAATCCGCTTGTAAGAGAATTTAGACCAAGGATCACTGTTCAAAAATCAGGAGTCACTCAGTTTAAACAGAGATGAGACAAAATGTTCTTTTCTCAGAGGGTCATGAGTCTGTAGAACTCACTTTCTGAAAAGCTGGTGGAAGCAGAGTCATGGAATATTTTTAAGGCAGAGGTGAATAGATACTTGCTAAGCAAGGGAAGTGAAAGGTTATCAAGGTAGGCAGAAGTGCAGACTTGATGTAGCTGTTGAATGAGACATGATCCTACTGAACGGCAGAGCAAACTCGACAGGCAGGATGGCCTGCTCCTGGTTCTAATTCATATGTATTTAATTTTCTAAAATGCTTTGAAGTCTGACCCTCAGCGTAGCTATGTTAGATGATTGCATTCCAACATTTTGACATTCAATTCTGTCCCTTGCCTTGAGTTGGAACAATTATTTCCATTCAAATTTTAAGAATAACAATACAGAAAGTGCAAGAAGTGTTCGTTTTCGGTGAATTACTTATAAATAGGTAAGATTTTCAGTAATATCACAATGTATCAATAAATTAAGCATCCAGAGTCTGCAGTATGGATATAACTCCCTTGAGAGAACATATTCTCAAGCCTTTAAATGGCTGGACGTATCAGATATTCAGGTATGCTTACTTGCAGATATTCAGGTATGCTTACTTGGAGAGTTCTTGCAGTGATGTGATCACCTCATTTGCAGTGTCAATCTCTTTAGCTCCAAACAGTGACATCAGTATATGGACATCATTGAAGATAAGAATCTGGTCTTTGGCGTGATTCTTGGTGACTGTGGCAAGTTTCTTCCATTGATTGTCAACATTAACACCTGTGGAAGACTGTGCTGTCAGTGGAACAGGGGATTTGGCTTGTTCTTTCAGTCTTCATAGTTGTCATTTAATTATGTGATCAGCAATATAATAGCATGTGAATAATAGAAACAAAATAAAACACAACTATTTAAAAATGCTGTGCACTTCTGGGTGAGAGTGCTAGGTCTCACATTGGACTCTGTACAAAATCTGCAACACATTTCCTAATTTGAACAATACACTCTGCTGTTTTCCACATCTCTTCAAATCCTGATTGTTTACAGATCCCCATCAGGTCCCTTCATAACTTCCCTTCAAAAGTCTCCTCCCTTCCATCCTGACTCTTTACATTAATTTCCAGATTTTTCAATACAATACAATACAGCACAGGAACAGGCCCTTCAACCCACCAAGCCTGCACCGATTCTTAATCCTTATCTAAACCCATGTGCAGTTTCCATCTCTCTGTTTATCAACCATTCATGTGTCTATCAAGATATGCCTTAAATTCTGCTAATGTGCCTGCTTCCACCACCTCCACTGGCAATGCGTTACAGGCACCCACCACCCTCTGTTTGAAAAATGTTTCCCACACTTCTCACCTAACCTTTCCCCCTCTTACCTTCAACCTGTGCCCTCTTGTAGTTGATCTTTCCACCCTGTGAAAAAATCTCTAACTATCCATCCTATCTATGTTTCTCAGGTCACCCCTCAGCCTCCGTCTTTCCAGTGGAAACAATCCGAGTTTATCCACCCTCTTCTCATAACTAAAACCTTCCAGACCAGGCAACATCCTGGTAAACCTTCTCTGCATCCTCTCCAAAGCATCCACATCCTTCTGGTAGTATGGTGACAGAACTGCACATAATATTTCAAATGTAGCTTAACCAAAAAGTTTTGTACAACTTTAACATAACTTGCCAACTTTTATATTCAATTTCCCTGGCCGATGAAAGCAAATGTGCTGTATGCCTTCTTGACCACCGTATCCACCTGTATGGCCACTCTCAGGGATCTGTGGACCTGCACGCCCAGGTCCATCTGTATGTCAATGCTCCTAAAGGTTCTGTCATTTATTGTATAATTCATACCTGAATTTGATTTTCCAAAATGCATCACCTCGCATTAGACCAGATTAAACCCCATCTGCCATTAATCTGCCCAAATCTGCGATCTATCTGTATCCCACTGAATCCTTTGACAATTCTCCTGAGTATCTGCAACTCCGCAATTTTGGTGTCATCCCCAAACTTACTAATCAGGCCACCTACATTTTTTGATCAGCAATACAACAATTTTTGATTATTTCTTAATATCCTTCTCCTGAGTATTGCTCTATTCTTTTCTTTCACCACCGGACAAAATCTCTGTCTTAATTCCTTCCACCACAATTTACGACTTCAAATTCTCTAACCTTTAGCTTAACATCCCCTTTCTGGCACATAAATCAAATTGTTCCATGATTGCTTTTCTTGAACTCATGGTTCTGTTGTCCACACACCTTCCACCATTGTACACAGTACTAAAAGCCACCTCCAGGAATGCAAAATAATAAGCTGAATTTTTGCCAAGTTTGGGATAATACCTAGATTTACAAACCCAGCCAAGGAAAGTGCCCTGGAAGTTCAAATTTTCATTTGAGAGGTGTGACAATATAAACTTCAGAACTTTAATAACTGTATGGATTGAAAGAATCAGCAATAACTCCTTCTTGAATAAATTGTTTCCCAAGTTGAAAGGGACAAAGAGAAACTGTTATAAAGGAATTAAAAGCAACATGCTAATTAACCATCCCTGGGAAGAAGGAATCAACGCAACATAAACAAGCTGTTTTCTGGAAGACAGGAGGTAACACTACTTGACGAGCAGCTGCTTCATGACAAATGCACAATTAAGGCTGCCTGCAGAAGGAATGTCCTGGAAAATTTAAGGAGTTAATTGCAGGACAGGCTGTTATAAACCAAAAGCTAACACTAAACGTAACAAGGAACAGTGGAGCTACATCTGATAAGAAGACAAGTTACAGACTTGAGGTCTCCACAAGTGTAATTAATATTTGGGATGAAATAATCTAAAGGATCATCAATAATATCCTACCACAAACTTGAAAGAGGCAGGAAATTGTATAAAAACTCAACTCCAGGAATCTTCGGCAGCAGAATTTCGAAGAGCAACACTGCACAAGGATCGAACCTTGGACACTTCCAAAGACAGACACTGTTGTTTGGAGATAGTAGGAACTGCAGATGCTGGACAATCTGAGATAACAAGGTGTAGAGCTGGATGAACACAGCAGGCCAAGCAGCATCAGAGGAGCAGGAAAGCTGACTTTTCGGGCCTAGACCCTTCTTCAGAAATGGGGGAGGGGAAGGGGGTTCCGAAATAAATAGGGAGAGAGGGGGAGGCGGTAGAAGATGGATAGAGGAGAAGATAGGTGGAGAGGAGACAGACAGGTCAAAGAGGCGGGGATGGAGCCAGTGAAGGTGAGTGTAGGTGGGGAGTTAGGGAGGGGATAGGTCAGTCCAGGGAGGACAGACAGGTCAAGGGGGCGGGATGAGGCCAGTAGGTAGGACATGGGGGTGGGGCTTGAGGTGGGAGGAGGGGATAGGTGGGAGGCAGGACAGGTTAGGGAGGCGGGGACAAGCTGGGCTGATGTTGGGATGCGGTTGGGGGAGGGGAGATTTTGAAGCTTGTGAAGTCCACATTGATACCATTGGGCTGCAGGGTTCCCAAGTGAAATATGAGGTGCTGTTCCTGCAACCTTCAGGTAGCATCGTTGTGGCACTGCAGGAGGCCCAGGATGGACATGTTGTCTGAGGAATGGGAGGGGGAGTTGAAATGGTTCGTGACTGGGAGGTGCAGTTGTTTAGTGCGAACCGAGCGTAGGTGTTCCGCAAAGCAGTCCCCAAGCCTCCGCTTGGTTTCCCCAATGTAGAGGAGGCCACAATGGGAACAGCGGATACAGCATACCACATTAACAGATGTGCAGGTGAACATCTGATGTGGAAAGACTTCTTGGGGCCTGGGATGGGGGTGAGGGGGGAGGTGTAGGGGCAGGTGTAGCCCCCCTCATACTCACACCCCTTCCCCGCAATAACAACTAAAACAGAATCCCCCTCGTCCTCACGTACCACCCCATCAACCTCCAGATCCAACACATCATCCTCCGACACTTCCGCCATCTGCAATCCGACCCCACCACCAAAGACATCTTTCCCTCCCCACCCTTATTTGCTTTCCGGAGGGACCACTCTCTCCGGGACTCCCTTGTCCGCTCCACACTCCCCTCCAGCCCCACCACACCCGGCACTTTTCCCTGCAACCGCAGGAAGTGCTACACCTGCCCTTACACCTTCCCACTCATCCCATCCCAGGCCCCAAGAAGACTTTCCACATCAAGCAGATGTTCACCTGCACATCTGCTAATGTGGTATACTGTATCCGCTGTTCCCGTTGTGGCCTCCTCTACATCGGGGAAACCAAGCGGAGGCTTGGGGACTGCTTTGCAGAACATCTACGCTCGGTTCGCACCAAACAACTGCACCTCCCAGTCACGAACCATTTCAACTCCCCCTCCCATTCCTCAGATGACATGTCCATCCAGGGCCTCCTGCAGTGCCACAACAATGCCACCCGAAGGTTGCAGGAACAGCACCTCATATTCTGCTTAGGAACTCTGCAGCCCAAAGGTATTAATGTGGACTTCACAAGCTTCAAAATCTTCCCTCCCCCTGCTGCATCCCAAAACCAGCCCAGCTTGTCCCTGCCTCCCTCACCTGTCCTTCCTCCCACCTATCCCCTCCTCCCACCTCAAGCCCCACCCCCATCCCCTACCTACTAGCCTCATCCCGCCCCCTTGACCTGTCCGTCCTCCCTGGACTGACCTATCCCCTCCCTAACTCCCCACCTACACTCACTGGCTCGATCTCCACCTCTTTGACCTGTCTGTCTCCTCTCCACCTATCTTCTCCTCTATCCATCTTCTATCCGCCTCCCCCTCTCTCCCTATTTATTTCAGAATCCCCTTCCCCTCCCCCATTTCTGAAGAAGGGTCTAGGCCTGAAACGTCAACTTTCCTGCTCCTCTGATGCTGCTTGGCCTGCTGTGTTCATCCAGCTCTACACCTTGTTATCACTGTTTACAGGATTTACTACAACTAATTCATTTTATTGCTCTGTCAGACTACCCAACAAACCATGGGTCTAATTCATCCTATCTGTCGACATGACATCAGTTTAATATACATCTCCTTAAAGGTGTATGTCATTACATCATAACATTGTTCAAGTCAACTTGTGTTATAGCAGGTTTTTATGTCCTTTCTGTAATGAAGTTGGGGGTTGGGGCAATTATCTAAACTGCACAGAGTCCTCTACTCTATGATTTAAAATAGATCAAGAAAGGTTGCAATACAGTTAAACAGGTAATAGGGTTAACAAAAAGTTATATATAAACAACTATGAATCTCATTAAGAATGTTAATTCATATTCTGTTCTCATAATGAGATATTCACCGCTGTTTACTTGGCTACCTCCCTATTTCCAAAAGTATAATTTATTAACTACTTCTGTTTATTTGTGTATTTTGTGTAATAACTGCACTCAAAATTGTTTTAACAATTAGTTGCCGTTACATGGCAGCTTAAATGCAGATAAAGGTGTCAACGTACACCACATGTATAATTAAAACAGCCAAAACTAGGGAGTAAGTATTAGAAAGTCTGACCAAACACTTGTCAGTTGTGGGTTTTACAGACAAAGAAACAGGCAGTCTAAAAAGGAAATGTAGGTCTTCAGGCACAATTACGAATGATGGGGTAATGTTGGTGTTCTGTGTAGTGGTGCATGCACAGGGTCAGTCAAACAGAAAGTGTAATACAGTGCTGGAGGAAGTTATAGAGATCAGCACAGGCAACATATCCCATGAATGGACTTGATGAAAAAAGATAAATATTGTGTTTAATTTAAAGCTTTGAGCAAGGGAAAGCATTCACCTTCCATTTGGAGTCGATACAACATAGAACTTGTGTCCACAATATCCAGCATTGATCCACCTTCAAAACAGCTTTTGGAAATCTGTACAAGGTACAGACAAAATAACATCAAGAAATCACAGCTCAATACATACAGTGGAGAGAAATAATAAACTACCATACTTGTAGTTACATTATAATTTTCACGTCAAAACATTTATAGTTTTACACAATAAATTATATTTTGAATTATAGTGGACGTTTTATGAATACTACAACAGATATTCTCTGTTGTAGTGCCTGAAATCGGGGGGGGGGAGGTGGCGGTGGGTTGTGGAGGGGGAATGCAAACTCAGCAGTGAGCAGGAAGGATTCCCAAGGGCCTTCTGTCCTTCTGCTGGTATTTGAATGGTTCATGTATCTCAATTGATCCTGAGACAGGAATCAGGGGAGTTGTGCAGTGGTTTACATAAGAGTATCTATCTGGTTGGCAGCAGACATCTTCCCTGAGGTCCATGTAAATCCTGGCTGAGCATCCAACTTTCCCACTTCATTATTCGCCAAACTCTAGGGCTACTCCTATTATAAGAGTAGATGTAACTACAACACTGAGAAGACTCTGGGAAGCCTTTGGTCAATGCACTGAGTGTGGAGGCATGTCTTAACTGGCCCAGTTGACACCATGTTCAATGGGACAATAAAAAAGAAACTACAAAACAACCTTTTTCAAATAATTGTACTCTTTTAAGCAAATCAGTTCTGCTTCTAACAATAACATTCAGCTAGTAGCAGCATTAGATACAATGAGAAAATGGAATGGAAACTGAAGTACTGTTCCTTTCAACAATACTACACTTGTGTAATATGCAGCAAGTATCAACGTGCAGTCACTAATCTCCAATTATTGGTACAAAAAATAGGGTACAATGTTTGTAAAATATCCTCTGAACGTGTATCAGGGACAATGTGTACACTAAATGCTAAAGTATTCAGCAAACACTAATAGCACACTAATCCTTGAAATGAAATGAACTAGAAAGTCCACATCCCTTGTAAAATGGTTTTCCATTATGAAGCAATAGAGAGCTGTAGTAAGTCAGTGAGTAGTTCTCCTACCTCTAGTCAGAAAGCCCTGGGTTAAATCCTCACTCTAGGATGTAATGGCTTTGAAAAAAGCAAGCCACAAATGTAGGGAAGCCAGGTATATAGACCCAGATAAATGGGAAGGATTAATGGGAAGAAGGACATTTGGCTGTAAAACCACATATCAAATTCAAAACAAAATGATGATACATGTGAAGGTGATCAACCAGCATCGTGGCAATCCTATGCAGCACGGTGAAGGAAGGCTCAACCATTTCAGCTATAGTTTATACTCACATGAGTATCATAAATTGAGAGTGCTGTGTCATAATCACCCTGTGTGAACAGAACACAATCAATAAGAATGTTATCTAAGAGTATAAACACAATGTATTCACTGCTCATATCAAACACTCCAACATAGGATATTGTACTGCCCAGATCAGATAAAATACAATTCATTTGCAGGATGAATTTTGTTCAACGATTAGGTCTCAAGAACACAATTAAAATTCAACTTTGGAAAACAGTTCATATTTTACCAGTGCAGCATTTCCATTTCTTATGCCCATTTATGAGAGCTGTACTTGATAGTGCTTTTGTCACTCATTTATGAATATGGAACAATCTGCATCAACTGCTGCAGAATGGCACAAATTCATTTTGTTTTGATGAATTTCATTAAATACATTAACCTTTGTACTGTTGTATTAATTCCAGACTAGACAGGCTGTTTATAGATATGGGCTTGGCCACTTAGATCAGAGAGTGGTGAGCTTTTGGAATTCTCTGCCACTGATAGTGATTGAGGTAAAAACATTAGATATTTTCAAGAGGAAACTAGATATAATTCTGAGGGCTAAAGGGATCAAAGGTTATGGGGAGAAAGCAGAGATAGGGTACTGAGTTAGACGATCTACCGTCATTATACTGAATGGTACAGCAGGTTCCAAGGACTGAATGGCCTACTCCTGCTCTTATTTTCTATGTTTCTATGTAGCATCAAGACATATAGATGACATTACGATGTATGACATTGCAATATAAATGAACCTACCTCACCTATGACAGCCGTTACTGCTATTATTATTGTAACAGGAGCAACAGAAAGCATAATACCCAGACTATATGTAAATCTGATATGTTATGGCAGTATAAATAGTTTCAGGTTGTTAATAAACATCTGTCTCAACAGCAATCCAGTCTTTGTAGTATATGTTACAAAGGCTAATATGCAAGGGAACACTCAAATCTTATAATGTCGACAGAAGCCTGTGACCCAAGAAATCATGTTAACCTTTGTGAAACCCTATTTTTTCCCTGCTCTGCCAGGAGGAGTTTGGACTCAGCTGACAGAGATCACAACATGAAAGGTATTTTGCTTGTATCTTTCTATCCATTGTAATTAATAGCCAGAAAGTTAATATTTGTCTCCACTTTGTGCACATGGACCCCTGCCAATGGACAAGGGTCTGCAAACCTTGTCATCAAGTAAAACTGACCTTATAAATCATCATAAATTTGAATGAACAAGCTGGATTCCCACAGTCCTTTCCAGTCTTCAATATGCTATATTGCTTTTAATATGAAGGAAAGGCTGGGAATTCTGTAACAAGTAACTTACTTCTTGAATTCTCAAAGCCTGTTCACCATTGACAAGGCACAAATCAAGACTCTGGTAGAATACAGTCCACCAGCTTGGATGAGTGCAACTCTGACAAGTCAAGAAGCTTGACACACTCTAGGACAATGCAGCCTGTTAAACTGCAACATTCACTCCCTCAATCATCATTGTGCAGTGACAGCAGTGTGTACTATCTACAAGACGCACTGCAGAAATTTACCAAGACTCCTTCGACAGCACCTTCCAAATCCACAACCTTTACCACCTTGAAGGACAGTGAACACATTGGAACACTACCACCTGCAAATTCTTCTCCAAACCACACACCATCCTATGGAACTATATGATTATACATAGACCATATGCACTAAAGGGGTTCAGAAAGGCTGTACACCAGCACCTTCTCAAGGACTTAGGGATGGGCAGTAAATGCTGGCCCAGTCAGAGAAGCTGGAAATGTTTACACAAACAGTAGGCTTGGCATCAGTAAGCAGCATATTGTTTATTCAGCTTTTATTTCGAATTGGCTCCTCTTCATATGTTTGTTTAAAAGTGCTTTGAGTTCAAAGCCTGCGAACATGCCATTTCCACACAGATCAGAACTAGGACAGTGCCTCTATGATCACACTGGCAACATTTCTGATTCTTTTTGAAAACTTCATGTTGAAGCATCTTCTCCACTTGGTTTTATGAATCTTTGGGACTGAATATTCCATTCCAGCACACAAAGTGCTGATACTCCAGCAGGCGTGTGATTCAAATATGGTCTGATCTAAAGTCAAGACTTCTATAGGAGAGTCCATAGAGCAGCTGCCCACTCCAAATAAGGGCAATCTCAAATTGGAGGCTGAATAGAGCCTTAATGTGTTGATTGCTCTGTCGCTGACCTCTTTAGTATCTCTCAAACCTTTCCCTATACAAGCCTTCAAAATGGCAAGCCCCATGCCGTGTACATTGGATTCCTTGTGGGAATACTAACAAAAATATTCTAATAACTCTGTCCCAAGATAACACTGTTCAAGCACAACCACTGCATTAAGCTGACAATTAAGCATGCTTAAACTTATTTGACATTCTATTCAGCAGAATCCACTGCATGACCCAATCTCCTCTTGACCCAGCCTAAATCTGGACATTGTCCAGGTCACCAAGATATTTTCAAACACTTCGATCAATGCTGTGTCTGTCATTAATATATAAACTTCACTGATGTAAAATCCAACATGCAGAAAGTACAGCATCCTTTATTCCAACTGGGCAGCAATGTATTTATGCCGGAAAGTCAGGCTGTGGATGTTAACTTTTATTTTAATTCATTAATTCAATGTAAAATTCACTGACTGGGCCAGCATTTATTGCCCACACATAGTTGTTCTTGAGAAAGCGGTGGTGAGCTGCCCTTTTGAACTACTGCAGTTCACTTGCAGTAGTTAGACCTACAATGCTGTTAGAGAGGGAACCCAGTGGTGCTGAAGGTACGGCAATATATTTCCAAGCACTGCGTGCCTTGAAGAGGATCTTGCAGGTGGTGGTGTTCTCATGTATCTGCTAGTCTGTCCTTCTAGATGGTGATGGTCATGGGTTTGGTAGGTGAGGTCTAATGAGCTGTTGGTGGTGGTGGTGGTGGTGGTGGTGGTGATGCGGGGGGGTGTGTGGAGTATTCCATCCTGAATTATGCTTTGCAGATGTTGGCGGACTTTGTGGATTCAGGAGATGAATTACTTGAGCAGAATTCCTAACCTCTTACTTGCTCTTATAGCCACAGTCCTTTATATGACTAGTCCAGTTCAGTTTCGGGTCAATGGTAACCCCAGGATATTGATAGTGGGGAATTCAGTGCTTAAATACCTTTAAATGTCAAGGAGTAATAGTTAGATTCTCTCTTGTTGGAGATATTCATGCCTGATACTTGTGTGGTGCAAACGTTACTTGCCACTTTTCAGCCCAAGTTTGGATATTGTCCAGGTCTTATGAATTTTGACATGGACTGCTTCAGTATCTGAGGAGTCATAAATGGTGCTGAATGTTGTGCACTCATCAGCGACCTTTCCCATTTCTGACCTTCTGGTGGGGGGGAAGATCATTAATACAACAGCTTAAGAAGGCATGACAATTAGCACATAAATACAAACATAGGAAGCAGCAAGTGTCCAAATCACCTACAAACCTTTTCAATGTGGTATAGTGCCCAGTGCCAGTAATTATGACAGGCGAGCATATCAGAACCCTGTGAATGGATCAAAAAGGCAATTGTGAAAACATTCCAGTAATATGTTATGTTTAGCCCTTATCATTATTTCCCAACTAAGAAATGTTCTGATGAAGAGTCATAACAGACTTGAAATGTTAATTCTCTTTCTATCTCCAGAACTGCTGCATTCCTCCAGCACTTTCTGTTTTTATTTCAGATTTCCAGCCTCTGCAGTATTTTGCGTTTATACACCATTCACCATTACCCATTGCCCTGGTAGCAAAACTTCCAGCTACCTTAGTAGATTCATAGAGTCATAGAGTTATAGAGTTATAGAGATATACAGCATGGAAACAGACCCTTTGGTCCAACTCATCCATGCTGACCAGACATCCTATATAAATCCAGTCCCATTTGCTGGCATTGGCCCATATCCTTCTAACCCTTTCTTATTCATATACCCATCCAGATGTCTTTTAAATGTTGCAATTATACTAGCCTCCACCACTTCATCTGGCAGCTCATTCCATATATGCATCACCCTCTGCGTGAAAAAGTTGCACCTTAGGTCCCTTTTATATCTTTGCCTCTCACCTTAAAACTATGTCCTCTAGTTTTGGACTCCGCCCCCATTCTGGGGAAACGACCTTGCCTATTTATCCCATCCATGTCCCTCATGATTTTATAAACCTCTATAAGGTCACCCCTCAGCCTCCGACACTCCAGGGAAAATAGCCCCAGCCTATTCAACCTCTCCCTGTAACTCAAACCCTCCAACCCTGGCAACACTTCAGTGTCATACAGCATGGAAATAGACCCTCCAGTCCAACTTATTCATGCCGATCAAGTTTCCCAACTAAACTAGTCCCACTTGCCTGCATTCAGGCCATATCTCTCTCAGCCTTTACTATTCATGTCTCTATCCAAATGTCTTTTAAATGTTGTAACTGTACCTGCATCTACCAATTCCTCTGGCAGTTCATTCCACATGTGAACCATCCTGTGTGAAAATGTTGTCCCTCAGGCCCCTTTTAAATCTTTCTCCTTTCACGTTAAAAATATGCCCATAGTATTGAACTCCCCCGACCCTAGGGAAAAGACCTTTGCTATTCTCCTTACTATGCACTCATGTTTTTTATAAACCTCTAAAAGGCCATCCCTCATCCTCCTGCGCTCCAGTCAAAAAGTCACAGCCTATCCAGCTTCTTCTTATTGCGCAAACCCTCTAGTTCCGGCAACATTCTGGTAAATCTTTTCTTAACCCTGTCCAATTTAATAATCCTCTTCCCATAGCAGGGCAACCAGAGCTGTAAACTGTACTCCAAAAGTGGCCTACTATGGGAAGAGGATTATTAAATTGGACAGGGTTAAGAAAAGATTTACCAATGTTCTGTACAACCTCAACAATGACGTCCCAACTCCTATACTCAATGGTTTTGAGTGATGAAGGCAAGTGTGCCAAATACCTTCTTAACCACCCTGTCTACCTGTGATGCAACTTTGAAGGAACTACATACCTGAACCCCTAGGTTTCTAGCAGTTATTCTTCATGACTCATTGACTTAATCTCAGATTTTCTGTTTCTCAACTATCCCTGTTAATTATTGGGCTAATAACAGATATCACATAAACAAATTCTGTCACTCAATCTGACCCTATGAATTCAATTATTTAACATCTTTTGGGAAAAAAAGGAAATGTGGGAACAAGATTCCTTCCCTCCATTTTCTCCAAGTCACCAGCAACTAAGATTGAAAAGGATGATGAGAAACCTACTTCCCAACTGTGTCCCCATCTGCTAGAAAGTTTTCCCTCTTACAGCATATCAGAAATGAGTGGAATTAATTCCCTTGGCTCTCTGTGTTGCTGTACCAGCTGCTGTCCTAATTTATGTCTTCTCACAGGGCTCGGTCAGGAACCACACATTCTTGATTTTCTTAGGTTTACCTTCCAGTTGTTTTCTGTCTCTTTCATAAACTTTAGTCCATTGTTCACATTTGCACGCATCTCATACACATGTGCCAGGGAATGTGCAGACCAGGCATCACGTGGGTTCAGAGCCAAGCCCTGACAAAAAGGAGAAAAAGCAAGATAAAAAAAGACAAAATTTACATTATGGAATAAAAGCATATAAAAATGTCATGCCTCTAAATTGGACAGAGACAATTACACTTGGATCTCTATCTTACAACATTTTTGAGTGCTATGGGAGTACACTAGATGCATGAAATAGGGAAGCTGCTGTCACTCCCAGGTCAATCTTACATATTCCGTATTCCTGTAAAATCGGGAGTCTGTCTCCTACCACAGAGGGGCTGGGGTAGTGCACTATCACTACAAGCCCATTTTGTCCCCTTAAGTAAAAAGGCAAAAAGGTGAGCATAAACTTAGGAAGCGGGCAGGTGAAAGAAAGCCATTTACCATTCCAAAAGCAAAGTACAACAAACGATATATCCAGGCAGAGCTCCTTGCGGAGACCAAGCTTTCTGCATCTCTTTTGCCGTAAATAGGTATGAAAAATGTTCCATTTATGTACTTCATTAAAATGTCATACACTTACTTCCTGTGGTTTTCAGATGTACTTCTATTGTGATTTTTGTTTAGAGGGAATTCTTGAGAAGGAAAGCTTTTTTTTAAACAGTACCATTAAAGTGATATGAAAAATAAGCAACAGTAATGTGAAAGAAGTCTTTTTCACATAGTGAGTTGTTAGGGTGTAAAAAGCACTGTCTGGAAATGTGGTATAGGCACTTTCAGGTAAGACATTCAAGAGGGCACTGGATGATTGTTTGAATAGTGTGTAAAGATACAGTGAAAAGGCAAGAGATTGGCACTTGGTAATAGAACCAGTCCAAGCACAATGGGCCAAATGGCCTCATTCTGCATCATACCAATTCTGTGATTTACCATTTAAATTAATCAGCTTTCAATTTACTGTAGGAATGTTTATTCAAATTTCATATCCTTGTAGGTAGTGGAATGTATCCTGTAAATAAAATAACAGATTTTTTGGAATACTGAAAGCAACATTGGCCATATGAATGGCATATGGGAAAGGTGACCAACTGAGCTGTGCGCTGGGAATTGGATCAAGCCAGACAGACAGATGCACAAACCAGTTACCTTGATTGATTATATTGAATAGCTGTTACTGAGACTGTGCAACTGAGATATTAAGCCAGGAAGCTTGCAGCATTCACTGTCAAATTGAACAAGTATGTTCAACAGGTATGATGAACAGGTATGCAAGCCATTCACCTTGACTGCCTATTGAATGGGTTAGGTTGCAGACTTGCTGTCGAGCCAGTGAGTCTACAACCTCATCCGCAACCCGAGCTACAAATCTTCTCAAAAACTTTATCAAATGGGTTGTTGATGAGACGATGCTGCAAAGTTTCAGGTGGAATAATAGATCTGAGTTTCAATAAACTGTTTTTGAGACAGCTCAGCCCCCCCAGGATTGGATCAGTCAATAGGAAAATTACAACAAACAATTCTGGCTTTTATAACACCTCTCCTGAGACAGAAACCCGATTTACGCTGAGTAAGTAAATTATGCTAATTACACTGTTACATCAAACTACTATTAAGCCACTGTACTCAGAAATGACCCAGATAACTAGTTAAAAGAAGCCACACAAATCAGAGGGGGCTCACACACAAACACCAAAGAACATCAGGACCAAGAAGCAGGAGCCATGGGAGCAAGAAAAGCAGCCTCAACTCCAGTTTGACCATCTGTAATCGGAGTAGTATAAGCTTTTTAACACCTTTCACTTCCAAAGCCGATTTTAAACTAGTATGTGGACATAGACATTTAAGAACTGCAAGGTTACTTGGGATATTAGAGGGAAAGATGGGTTTTGTAAAATTGTATTATATCTATCTTATGTTTCAGCAATAATAAACCACATCTCATGGTAAACCATGTCTCATTATTGGTGTAAAACGAGTCCAAGTAATGTAAGCAAGTAGATCAGACCATATGAAAACAAAGCTTACATCGTTAAAGAGAAGAAAGGATTCCCCTTTAAATTTGCATGAACATCATTTCTCAAATTTACATCCCTCTTTCCTCATTATGTGTCACCCAAACTCATTCATTCCTACTATCTCTGACTGTCCAACCACTTATAACTCTTCTGATTGCGTACTGGTCAGTACATGCACAGTTCTACAGATCTTTCTGAATCAGGTCAATGTTGCTGTCTACTGACAGTTATGTTAGGATTTTGCACGAGAGAAATCTTCTTCTGTGCCGTAGTCATGTTTCTGTAGTGTAGTGGTTATCGTGTTCACCTTACACGTGAAAGGTCCCCTGTTCGAAGCCGGGCAGAAACAGTGATGCTCTTTCATTACAGCGACAGGTTTGTGGATTGATACGGACAGAGCTTTCTTGTTTAGGGCAGCATGGTGGCTCAGTGGTTAGCACTGCTGCCTCACAGTGTCAGCAACCCGGGTTCGATTCCAGCCTCGGGTGACTGTCTGTGTGGAACTTGCACATTCTCCCCGTGTGTGTGGGTTTCATCCAGGTGCTCTGGTTTCCTCCAACAGTCCAAAGATGTGCAGAGTAGGTGGATTGGCCATGCTAAATTGCCCATAGTGTCCAGGGATGTTTAGGTTGAGTGGGTTAGACATGGGAAATGGGGTGGGGGGGCGGTGTCTGGGCGGGATGCTCTTTGGAGAGGCAGTGTGGACTTGTTGGGCCAAATGGCCTGTTTCCACACTGTACGGGTTCTATGATTCTAAATTACTCTTTGCACGGAACAGAATGAACCAGTTTTACCACAACATTTCATAACCAATGTGATGAATATGCTGTGGCTCTTTAAAGTAAAGAACGCTCTGTTTTCTTATCTCTATCAAATATTTTAGTTATCACTTACCTCTTTGGCAACTTTCTCTGCCAGGTCGTAGAAGTTAGTCTCCACCAGCCCAAATGAGTACATCCCTTTCAAGTAACTAAAGAAGTTGAGGACATGAGGTTATTAATAAAAATCAGTGGCCTTTATTGCTGACTTTTAATAAATTATTAATCTGTTCTAACATGGTTACTTTTCAGCTTGCTTCAAGCAATGCATGTGGTAAATGGAAATGCTGACGCAAACAGAAGTTAGGTGAAAGGTAAAGCAGATGACTCGTTCACTAATATCTGTTTTCCACTTCGATAAATTCAAGATCTATCTCAATACATTTGAAACACACATGCACAATAAGTTATATACATCTTTAACAAGTATATGAATATTAAATGTTCAGAAGTGGAAGTGAAAAAGTAAGTAATAGCATATCCTAGCAGACATAAAAGATAATCCCAAAGTTTATACGTATATAGATAGTGCAGGGGTTGTAAAAAGAGGACAGCAAATTAGGGACCAAAAAGGAAATTTACACATAGAGGCAGTGGGTTTGCTGAGATATTAAATGAGTATTTTGCATCTATATCCCTAAAGAAGCAGATGTTACCCAAGCCATGGTGACAACAGGGGAAACTCAGCCACTACAAGTGTTCACAATTGAGAAGGAGGGGCTGTCAATTAGGTTTTGGTACCTAACAGTTGACAAGTCACCTCGAAACAGAAGAGATGCATCCAAGGAAATTGTAAGTAAATGAAAGTGGAAATTGCAGGGGCGTTGGCCATAACCTTCTAGTCTTCCCTGGACACAGCGGCTAGTACCAATGGACTTGAGAATTGCAAACATTCTGTTTTTGTTCAAACAAGATTGCAAGAAATTACAGACCAATCAGTTTAACTTCAATAGTGGGAAACATCTAGAAACAATAATTTGGATAAAATTAATAGTCACATGAACAAATGTGTATTAAATATGGAAAGCCAGCATGGATTTCTTAGAGATAATCCTGTTTAACAAACTTGGAATTCTTGGAATACATAACAGAGATCTTTGATGAGGGTAATGCTGTTAATGTGGTTATGCATGGACTTCCAAAAGGCATGTGACATAGTGCTATACAACATACTTGTGAAGAAAGTTGTAATTCCCAAAATAAAAGGGAATAAAGTGGAAACAAGAGATAATAGGAACTGCAGATGCTGG